TGCTGATGTTAATAGTTTAACGGGCTTAGTTTCAAAGGTGGATAAGACTGCTTGGGCTGTAGTTCTTGTTTCTGGACCAAAGTTGTTGGAGGTTGCTAAGATCATGGAACATTTGTGCCTAAAATGTGATGCAGAGGAGATTATTAGGCCTTTGAATAGTAAGAAACAGAGAATGGATGGAGATCTGATAAGTAGTGATAATCTACTCCCTAATTTTGTTGATAGTTTATGTTTTGTGAAAGAAATAATAAGAAGTGGGAATGAAAAGAAAGGCAATATGTCGAGAGAAGGGTCAAGCAGTGGTAGAGGAAGGGGTAAGGGTCGAAGGAGGAAATTGAATGTTAGGATGGCTATGGATATTGGTGAAAATGATATGAACTTATCTGAAGGTAATGGTGGCTAGCCTTTAACAACCGCCTAAGGGCCATAAGTCTATTATCATGGAACTGTCAAGGTTTGGGATGGCCTTGATAGTGAAAAGCTAAAGGAGGAATGTAGAATTAATAAACCCTCATTAGTTTTCTTAATGGAGACAAGGATGGATAGTAGGAGAATGAAGAGGCTGAGAAGGAAATATTGTTTTAATGAAAAGTTTTATGTTGAACCAAGAGGTAGTGGAGGTGGGTTGGCTTTGTGGTGGAATGATGAACTAATACTTAATGTTCGGCATAGTTCTTGTAATATTATTCATGTTACTATGTCTTCGAACAGTGTGACTGTGCCTAGTTATGTTTCTTTTGTGTATGGTGTACTAAGAGTGGAGGACAAATTGAAGGTTTAGAGTAAGGTGAGAAGTATTTATGTTGGTATTAATGACTCATGGGTCTGTTTGGGGGATTTTAATGATATTTTGACTAGCAATGAGAAGCTTGGTGTGCATCTTATGGATTTGAGAAGAGTGTTGAATTTTCAAAGCATGTTGGCAGATTGTGGGCTTATGGATTTGGATTTTAAAGGTAGTGTTTTTACATGGTGTAATGGAGGGGAGGTTTGGCTTGTGTCAAAGAAAGACTTGATAGTGCTGTGGGGAATGTTGATTTTCGTGAGAATTTTCCTAATGTTATGGTAATTCATATTGAACCAGTGGGGTCAGATCATCACTTGATTCTGCTTCATCTTGAGTTCAAAATGACTAAAATTCCAAGACAATTTAAATTTGAAGCAATTTGGGTTGAGCATCTTGATTTTTTGCAGACTGTAAGAAGAGGTTGGAGGGCTGATATTGGATTAATTGATGATAAAGTTCTAAATTTGGTTTGGAGGCTTGATAATTGTAGAAAAGTGCTTTCTAAATGGGCAAGAGAGACTTTTCCTAATGCTAGAAAGGAGGTTGAACAACTTACCTTAGAGTTGGAAGAATGTAGGAAGGGTGGTTGGTTTGATATAAGTAGAAGAGAAGCTGAATCTTTGATTTTGAGGATTGAGGAGGCTTGGGATAAGGAGGAGAAGTATTGGTGGCGGAGATCAAGAGTTAATTGGTTATATTTTGGTGATAAAAATACACGATTTTTTCACTTAAGTACTATCTGTAGAAGAATGAGAAATAAAGTGGTTAAATTAAAGGATGAGGAAAAGATTAATGAAGCATTCTCAGCTTTTTACAAGAAGTTGTTCTCCTCTGGTGGTGAGTGTGATATGTCTGTAGCTTTGAGTTTTGTTCAACATCAGGTTACTAGTGAAGATAATTTGTGTCTTGAGAAGAATGTAACTTGGGAAGAGATTAAAGCTGTTGTATTTCATCTTGGTGGCAGTAAAGCTCTTGGGCCCGATGGCTATTCTGGTTTATTTTATCAGAAAGCATAGAGTGAAATTTGAGGGGAAGTTGTGAGTATGGTGCAAGCTTTCTTTTTGAAGGGTACTAGTCTATCTAAAATAAATCAAACTAATATTGTTTTAATTCTAAAAGTTGAGAATGCAAAAAATGTGGGACAATTCAGACCTATTGGGCTTTGCAATCTTGCCTATAAGATCATTACAAAGATCTTAGCGACTAGATTGCAAGGTGTTTTAGCAAGAATTATTTCCTATTAGCAGAGAGCCTTTATCAGTGGTTGTCTGATTCAGGATAATATCTTGGTAGCTCATGAGGCTTTTCATCATTTGAGAAATAAAAAGAAAGGGAGAAGAGTTGAGATGGCAGTGAAGATAGATTTAAGCAAGGCTTATGACAGATTGGAGTGGAGGTTTGTTGAGGAAGTGATGAGGAAGTTAGGATTTAGGAAAAAATGAATTTCTTAGGTTATGGAATGTATCAGGTCTATAGGTTTGAACCTAATAGTTGCAAGAAAGAAGATAGCTGAAGTTGATATGAAAGGGGGGTGAGGCAAGGAGATCCCCTATCTCCTCATCTTTTAATCTTGGCAATAGATGTTATCTCTAATATGATCTAGTAGCATGTTGATCAAGGTAAATTGAAGGGGATAAAACTTGCACAGACCTGTCCTATTCTCTCACATTGTTTTTTTGCTGATAATGCCTTATTTTTCCTTGAAGCAAATAAGAGGAATTGTAGTGTGTTGAAGGATATTTTGGATATTTTCTATCATGCTTCTGGCCAAGCAATAAATTTTGAGAAATCTTGTATCTTTTTTTCTCAAAATGCAGAGGATGATTTAAAGAATCTAATTTTTGATACTTTGGGAATAAGAGGTACAGATGACCTTGGGAAGTATTTGGGGTTGCCAATGGTGTGGGGTGGATTGAAATCTGAGGCTCTTACATTTGTTAAAAATAAGATAGGGGTGAAGTTACAAGGGTGGAAACAGAGACTATTGTCTTTTGCTGGCTGTAAAGTATTAATAAAGGCTGTGGCTAATGCAATTCCAATTTATCCTATGGCATGTTTTAAATTTCCAAAAAAAGGTTTGTGTAGTATTGGATGGGATGGTATCTAATTTCTGGTAGGGTCAGCAGCAAAATGAGGACAAAATTTATTGGAAAGCCTGGAAATTTGAGCAGACCAAAGGAGGAAGGAGGTATGGGCTTTAGATATTTTATGTTGTTTAATAAAACTCTTTTAGCTAAGACAGCTTGGCAGATTATTCAATGTCCTGATGATTTTTGGGTAAGGATGTTGAAGGGATTATATTTTCCTGAATCTGATTTTCTACAGGCTAAGAAAGGAAGCAAGGCATCTTGGGGGTGGTCTAACATTTTGGAAGGTAGAGATCTTCTTGAGAAGGATCTTTACTGGAAAATTGGCAGTAGTGTTTATGTGAATGTATTTTTGGATAAATGGGTGCAGGAAGCTAAGGGGCATAAATTGTCTCAGATGGATATACCTGCTGAGTTAAAGGAATTGAAAGTCTCTTATATTATTCATAATGGTAAATAGGATCTGAGTTTACTAGAGGGATTGATTAGCATGGAAGAGTAGAAGCTGTTAAGAAGAATCTGATTGCCATTAGTGAATAGTGATGATAAATAAATGTGGCTAAGAAGTAAAGATGGGACTTATTCAGTAAAGTTGGGATATAAAGTTTCTGTGGAAGAAGGAAAGAGTTATGTGGCTAAGGATTCGAGTGGATCTCATGTGATCTCTAAGGAGGTTTGAAAGGGTACTTGAAGGGTTAAATTGCCTCCAAAAATTAATCATTTCCTTTGGAGAGCAGTGAATGGTGCTTTGGCTACTAAAGATGCTTTGTTTAAGAGAATGTGTGTGAATGATCCTGGTTGTCCTATATGTCATAAGAATATTGAGATAGTAGAGCATATGCTATTTTTGTGTCCATAGGTTAAGTTGTGTTGGTTTGGCTCTCCTCTATAATTAAAGTTTAGCAAGTAGAATGTGAGTAGATTTGATAGATGGTGGGAAGATTGGGTTGTTGGGAAGGATGGTTTAGATGATTATGCAATTGCTCTTTTTGTTGCTATGTGCTGGATGATCTGGAAAGCTAGACGTAGTTTTTTGTTTGAGAATGTTGAAGTTGATGCTGAATTGTGTATTAGGAAGGCTATTGGTCTGGTTGATGAATTTTGGTCTTCAATAGAAAGACAAAGAAGGAATGTACAGGTGCCTGAGTTTATTGTTGATAGGGCATCTAAATGGATTAAACCAGATCTTTTTCTTATGAAGGTGAATGTGGATGGGGTGTACTATGCAAAGGAAGGAAACACAGCTATTGGTTTGGTTGGAAGGGACCATAATGGGCAATATATGGGGGGTGTGGGGAAGCAAGTGACTACTACTTCTACATTTATGATAGAATGCTTGGCTTTGTTAGAAGCTTTGCAAATGAAAGATTTGTTTAGTGATGGTAAGGTCTTTTTTGAAACTGATTGTCAGGAATTGTACAGAAGAATACTAGCTAGAGATGTTAAAGGATATGAATGGTTTTGTTTTGATATTTTGTTGAAGTGCTTTGAATTGTGTGATGCTGATGTGAATTGCTTCTTGTCTTTGGTTGCTCATATTGGTAATGGTGCAGCAGATTGGATTGTAGCTGGTGTTATGAGGGGCATGGTACTGCAAAGATGGCTCTTTGAGCCACCATCTCCTTTGGTTAATGTGATGGTAAGGGATCTATAAGGCAGAAGTAGTGAAGCTAAGCTAAAAAAGGGTATTGGTTAATTGTTCTTTTTTGCTTTTTTTGTTCCTTTTCTTCTAGTTTTTCAGGTTGTAACTTGATTTTAATTGCTTTGCTTTTCTTTCTTTTGTTGTATTCCTAGGCTTTGTTTTCTTTCTTTACATGGTATTAATGTATGTAATCCTTTTAATGATATTAATAAAATGGTCTGTATTTTGCTAAAAAGAAAAAAAGAAAAGGGCTGAAATTTTTGTGGCCATTTTCCGTCATTTTTAAGGTTACTTTTATCATTTTTTTTTATCAACTAAAAATTAAAGTTAACTTTTATAAATATCAAGATTAAATTATACTATTTTTAAAAGTTGAAAGAACAATTTGCACAATAAATAAGCTCATGGTCATATGGTGCTACTAGACATAAAACTTAAGGATAATTTACTCATTTATTCTTACATTTTTACCATTAACAAAAAAGAAACATTACATATTAATAAATAATTCAAATTTCAAAACCACCCCAAATCATAACCATATGTGAATTAAAAGTGACCAATCCCAGTCGATGCACAAGAAGTTCAGTTGAAAATGATAATACCCAGACACAGCGAGTGATTAACCACGTTAATTCATCCTTCGCTTGTGTACACTTCTTCTAAAAGCCCATGAAGACCTCCAACCAAGGGAGAAACAAATGGTATAGGCTACGACAAAACCAGTTAGAGCCCCGAATCCAAATGGCAAACCTACTATCTTGTCATCTTTGTGGTGAAACTTTTGACGAGGAACATCCTCGGCTTCAGAAGGAACAGAACCAGATAGACGAAGCCCCATGTTTCCCTCAAAGCTTGATGATGGAAATGTCTCAAATTGACCTCCCTCCGGCATTTTCCCCTGCAACTGATTATAAGACACATCAAATGCAGATAAAAAGCTCAACTTTACCAACGATGGTGGTATTTCCCTACTGAGTCTGTTATAAGATAAATCTAGAATCTCCAACATTGTCATTTCTGATAACTCATCAGGAATAGTTCCTGAGAGTCTGTTGTGTTTTAGATCCATCACGTGAAGGCCTTTCAGGTTTCCAAAACTTGGCCATATGGGTTCTTCAAGCTTGTTGTGACTCAGCACTAGAGATGGACAAAGCCTTGAAACTCTGTCATATTCCAACCTGTTTGGTTGTCTTGTTTGATCAGTATTATCTCCTTTAACGGTGGAAAGGTAAGTGCATGATGAAGATGAATAACTAGTCCCTCGGGATGAGAAATTGCTGTTCTGTATTCCCAAAATCATGGTCAAGCTTTCTGGGATTTCACCAGTCAAAGAATTATTCGACAAGTCTAAGTAAAAGAGATGATCCAACTTGCCAAACCAAGAAGGGATGATTCCACTCAAAGAGTTCCATGACAAATCCACAAACTGCAACATCTTGCATCCCTTTAACCACTTTGGGACTGAGCCTTTGATTTGGCTATTGGCCAACACTAAAACCTGCAGACTTTTGAATCCTACAATACGATCTTGTGGCATTTCTTCGTTGATGAAGTTATTTGGAAGGCCTAGAATGCTCAAGTTTCTGCAATGCTGTAAAACATTTAAAGCTGAAGACAAATTACGCAGACCAGTACTTGAAAGTCCAAGGACGGTTAAAGATGAAATTTTTTTTAAGGTAACAGGAACTTCACCACTGAGATTGTTGGAGGAAAGAGAAATTTCTTCCAGTCTAGGGCATTTTGATAAACTACCAGGGATTGTACCAAGAAACTTGTTGGCAGAAAGACAAAGGGAAGTAAGGTTTTTCATTGCAGAACAATTCACATTAATGGAACCACTAAAAGAGTTATTAGCCAAACTGAGCACCTTAAGAGATGGAGAATTTACCAGTGTTGTAGGCATTTGACCTGTGAAATTGTTTGATCTTGCAGAGAAACTCTCAAGTCTCATGAGGCTCTCAAAGATATCTGGGAGAATTCCAGAAAACCCATTTCAGAGATGTCTAGTTTCACTAGGTTTGACAGGTTACCAATTTTACCATTCAGTGGTCCTGAGAGCTTATTGTATTGCAAATATAGTTCTTTCAGATTCTGCAGATGAACTATGCTTTTGGGTAATCTCCCTAATAGACTATTTCCATTGATGGATAGATGTTGCAAAGAGGAACAATTACCTAAACTTTCTGGAATGTTCCCTGAAAAATAATTATTTGACATTTTAAGCACTCGAACCCCATTTGAAGATGAACAAATAGCTGTGTTTATTTTGCCCACAAAACCATTGTTGCTCAAGTCAATTACCTCCAAGTTTTGCAAATAAAACAATTCATCAGGAAGAAACCCTGTAAAGAAATTGTAAGACACGTTTAAGATTCTCAGTTGATCAAAACCTGCTAGGGGGACACATAATCTTCCAGTAAGTGCTCTGTTGCTAAGCTCCAAGCTTACCACCTTTGTGCCTAAACCAGTTATGTTACCGCATGTAACACCAGGCCAAGTGCAGCAATCAGAGGAGGAAGATGAAGAGCTGTTCCAGTCAAGAATGGCAGATTCTAAGCAGGTTGAGAAATCAGTCAAGGCCTTTAAGTCACTGGGATTACAGGTCACTGAGTTTTGGGAATCTGAACTACGAGTATAGCCACCAAATGACAACGAAACCAGTGATAGAAACAGAAGAAATCCCAGTGAACGAAGGTGCTCCATTGAGAAACTGGTGCTTGCTGCTAACCGGCTTTTCTCATGGTGATACTTTGCTGGTCTTAGTTATTGATCTTTCTCGCTTGATTTTCATCCACATTTCATACTCTGACTTTGTCAATTGTTTGAAGTCAATATTAGAGGAAGAAAAACTTCTTTGATAATGACTTTCTTGACAGCTAATTCAAATAACAATCCATGGGTGATTGAGCATCTTGACATTGAACATGGTGAAAAATCAAGAGAAAAATTGGCAGTCAATTAGTTTTTTCTTTTCTTTTTCAGTCAATTAATTTGAGATCTAAAACACTAACACATTGAAGATTTTATAAAAAATCATAATCAAGTTATAGAGTTGTACAGAATTTCAATTACATTTTTTTTTTTTGGGGGGGGACTATACTCCATCCACGCCTCTATATATGTAAGAAAGCCCATGAAAATCTTTAATTTTTGTAGGCATTTTAATTAGTTAGCTTACTGTTTTATAGAATGAAATACAACTCGTACATTTTTCATTGAACTAGACACTTTTGTTTTTTTGGACATTGCATAATTAAGTCTGAAAAAATGAACCACACTGAACTATTAATAGTCTATGAATAACAGCATTTATTAGAAATTTCATATTGATATATGTTAGACAGATATTTGATGTTTATTCTTATAAATATTTCTTGTTCATCAAATTTCTTATTTAATTATAAGCACATCTTTGGAAATTTATTTTACTAATGCAAGTGATTTGCTTATATTGCTGATACCCAACAAATCACTTTGTCTGAAAAGTGATTCACTGATGATCTGCATATAAGCAGACAGATAATTAGCAGCTTCAGAGATGCTCATTGATTATAAGCATTTCAATAAGTTCTGATTCCTTTAAAATATGCATGACAAAAGCTGTATATAACAGATGATTACATGCATGATAATCTTTCAATATAACTGAAGTATTACTTTGTTCTCTCGTAAGCAAAATTTTGGTGAGTTGAACTTTAGGAACTCAGAGAGTAGCGAAAGTTAAATAATGCTTCCAAATGTATTTAGGAATTAATCAATCAAAGAGTCCCTTACATTATTGGCATTAATTAGGATTTAATTTTAAGCCATTGCTCCCAAGGGATATGAAATTAAATCTTTACCAACTAAATCAATTTTCATTGTTGGTTAAGTATAATTTTGTTGGTAGTCATCAAATATTTAACTTGCTCTAGATATAATGACAAGCTCACAAGGTACTGGTAACATCACAATCATCTATGAATAACATTCATCATGATACAAATTTAATTAAAAAGAGTGTACATTAAAAAAAATCCCAGGGAAAAGTAGAAGCATGATAACAGAGCTTCACTTTCTGATGATGAGTGCACTCCATCAAAGTTTGCCTCAGTAAGACCACTTCAACTAACATAAAAGAAGACACCAACAAGATAAAGTAAAAAAGAACCAATCCCAATATTTTGAAAAGAAAGAATACTAAGCAAATCAAGCCAAATAAAAATAAATATGTAAGCATGTCAAAGTAAGCGTCGCTAAAAATTTTACTTGACACACTTATATGTTTATTTTTTATTGACTTAATCTATTTATCTTAGGGTCAGATTTTTAATATCAATCACCTATGTATAATATAAAAAATCCAATAAGTCACACTATTATGACCCATAAAAAGTGCGAATCATTCTTCAGACAAGATCCACCATAGTTTATGTTAGGAATAGAAGAGAAGGAGTATTAGTCAAACAAGCTTGCAAGTGCATTTGATTTTGCAGAAGAGACTGGAATCAACTCTTTGTGGGTATGATTGTGAGGATTAATGGAGGAGACAATTGGTGGAGAATGATGAATGGAAGTGGGTAGAATGAGTGTTTGCTTTTTCAAGTAATCCAATTTGTCTTGGAGGAGAAAAAGCAAAGCAAAGATTGAGACTTGTAGTGTGAAAAGGATAGTCCAAAGGGTAGTGCTTTTTAAGGTTCTCTTATGGTAGGCTCTTAAGCCTGTGTAGATGTTGATAATCCCCACAAGTGAAACTGTTGTTCCCACTATCCAATGCATAATGTACCAATAACTTCTCTCTTTCTTTCCCCTGCGAACAACATTCTTGGTTACAAACTTGTCACATCAATATAACAACATTCAAAACGGATCTAGAAGCTAATCAACGGGGCCAAATTGAAACAAAACATGGAGTGGAGGCCAAAATCTATTTTAAAATACTTTTACTAGCAAAATTACTAACTTTTGTCAAACGAGTATTTAAGTGTAGGGGACAAGCGCACCTTTTTATCCCACTTAGATTTGTCTTTGACAATGTTATGAAGTTATAAATTTCATACACTATATATTTGCAACTTATCTCAAATTTTATGTGAATGCATGGAATATATTCTAATATATTTATATAAAATATGGAAATATAAAGTTACACTATTTGTAAATCATGAATAGTATAGCTAGTTTATCTTTCTACTAATATTAGAAGATTTATAGATGTTGTTTTCAAAATAAATTTTATTATAATTTTTGTAATGAACAAACAATGAAATGTTTGGGTTTGTCTCAACAATAAAATCAATCATTAGTTATTGTGTGTGTGTGTGTGTGTGTGTGTGTGTGTGTGGGATAAGAATTGTGAATTGAATTGTTGATGAACCTGTGAGGCCTAAAAACCCCAAGGAAGACTTGTAGCAGAACAGCAGCATAAAGTGCAAGACCAAGTCTTTGATGGCTGTTATCAAATGAATTCTCAAACTTCTTCAGAGACATGGCTGCTCCAATCGTAGTCAGCAACACTGAAATCATCTGTTCCATGACATGTTAGACTTTGGAAAATGTACAAAAGAAAAATCAAGTATTGTTTGACAAGTTTTGTTGGTAAATAAGATAGTAAATTAATTTATTAACAAGAAGAGAATTATCTGTATTAATTTAATTGGAAATTTAAGATATGATTCCTCGCCAAGTTTTGAAGATAATGAAAATCATCTGCATTTAATTCTTCCAAAAAAAATTGTATACCATCTAAAAACAACAATAAAATATTTTTTAAATCCCAAACATTCGATATCCTAGATAATCTGAAGGTATTACTATCTCTCGTTCAAATTAATTCGAACCCTTATTTTGTGAGATTGTTATTACTAATGGCAGTCTCATTGGTACTTTAGGGATATCTTTAATATATTTATTTAACATAATTATTTATCCCTAGATTCAAACTCAAAATCTCAAGATAAACTAATTCAACTCTCTTCATTAATTGAACCAAAGCCTCTGGGTAGTACTCTTCCATGGTAATTTATTCACAGTTGTTTGATATATGTGTGTGTCTTCATTTTCAAATTGGTCAGGCTGGCAGGATAATATATTTTAACCATATAAACTTCAAGTAATTATTTCAAATCTGCAGTGTCAATGAAAGAAAAGGATATGGACACCGGCCACTCCGTAATTAAAGTGAGAAAGTGGGCTATAATTATGTTCAAAACAAAGATCAACACTTCAATGATTACACAAGCTAGGTTTCAAGAGTAGTCATCTTTATCACAAAAGTTAATCTTTGAACATTGTATACTAGTTAATTAATTAGTAATTGATGATGGATTATAAGTTTTCACAAAACAAATAGAGGACAGAGAATTGATGAAATTAACCTGGAAAGCAACATGGAGATAGAAGAGAAGTGCAGTTCTGGCTGATGAAGGTTCTTGAGTGATTGAAATTCTGATAATAAGAATGCCAAGAGGCATAAACAATCCCATTGAAGCCCACAGCAAGAATCCATGGATTGTAATATCAGATATCTTCTCACTGCTCACCTGTTAAGCGTAACTAGACATGTTATTCTAACGCTTTAACTTAATCAACTTAAAACAAGTTGTGTGAGATGGATCTAGTTAGTGATCCAAAACAAATAACGAAACAAGAAGAGAGAAGAGGAAAGCATTGCTAGCTAGGTACGTACCTTGGGAAAGTGGTGAATATTAGTGATGTTGTGAGTTAAGAAGTGAGAAGAGTGGTGAAGATGAGAGCAGAAAGTGGAAGGAAGAAGAGAAAGAGAAGAAGCAAAAAGGAGGAAAATGCAGAAAGGAGAGGAAGATATAAACATTTTTGAGAAGCCTAAGGCACTTGGATATGGTTGCTATAGCTATAGGGAATATGATTGTTCTTGGCTTGGGATATATGCCAAAGAAGGATTTTAACATGTGCCAATGAGGGCTCCAAGCCAAAGAGGGATTTTAATATGTGCCAACGAGGGCCTTCTACTTGTTAAAGAATGAAGTTTTTTGTGAAAAGGGTCCAATAATTGTGAATACTAAACTTCTATAAAATCCAAAAGCACATCCATTTGTATTGGATATCCTAAGTTTACCAATCTACCTCACGTTGAGATAAAAGGACTTTAACAGGGCCCGTACTAATTTGAAGTGAGTTAGGATGGGATTTTCTCGGGTGAAAGCTCTACTATTAACACCGTTACATTTTCAGAGTTCAAACCTGAAATATCTGATTAAGTTAGTACAATTTTATTGCTTGTTAAATCAATTGTATGATAGTCATGCATTCCGATTTTTAAGTGAGGGGGAGCAATTAAGTAAAGATGAACATGGACCGGTTTAAGGGCCAAACAATTATTTCCTTTTTATTTTGTTTGTATTTAGTTTAATTTTTTAACAAAAATGATAAAATTAATTCTAGCCCCCCTATTTTATATGATTCAAAATTTTGCCCCCTCTTATATGAGACCTTAGATCCCTCTCTCAACATGGGTCTCAAAATGCCAATGCTTATGTCAAGAAATAGATACTAAATAGTGAATAGTTGGTAAGTTAAATTTTATGTTCAAATCCTGTGAATAAAAAAATTATGCTTCGTAAAAATTAAATTCCTATTTGGTTTTTATTTTTAAAAATAAAAAAATTAAAAACTTGTTTATAATGTTTAGAATTTACTTGTTTTCAAAATTGTTCTTATTTTATTCTTTTAAAATAAAAATAGGAACAGTTTAAAATTATTTTCATTTTAGTTTTTTATTTTCAAAACACACTACATTAATTATTAAAAAATATAATTAGGTTGACCAATTTACATCTTAAACCACTATCATTGACCACCTGCAACATGCCATTGCTATCAAGCTATTTTTAAATTTTTATATTGTTTTTAAATTAACATAACTAAAATAAATTTTCAGTTTGTTATGTTTTAAAAATAATATTATAAAATAAAAATAATTTTTAAAAAATAAAAAATGAGAACAAAAACCAAATAGACCCTAATTGTCACCAACATGTTGAATGATTTTGCTTATTAATAAACATCTCAAACTTAAAAAAAAAAAAATCACAAGTTGCACCGTTTGTGAGTCTTGAATGGTGCATTTAATTTTTCAAGCTCCAACCAGCACTAGTTATCATTTTGTTTAAGGAGAAAACTTATATGCTCAACCTTTTATATTCAATATGTGCCTGTTTTTAATTCAAGAAATGTAAATTTTTTATAAATTATTTATTTTATAATAAATACTTGTCATTAATTTAATTAAGATATTGATATTCACTTATCATGATTTAATTATATATATATATATATATTAAATACGTAAAACTAAGTATATAAGCCCTGTCCTTTGTTTAATTACTTCTATTTAGAGTTGTTCTTATCCAACACAATTCGCAAACTATAACAACTAATTACAGAAAAGATTGCTTTTGGCCTTTTCTAATTCAACAAGTAATTAATTAGATTAATGTTAATCTTCCAGAAAAATTTATCTTACATATTTAAAGCTGTGTCATGATAGAGACTAGTGGAAGACAAAATTATAAAAGTGGACAGCATTTTTCACTGTATAGTCCTCAATTTTTCTTTCTTCGTCACTGATGAGCTAAATAATCAGGATTAGAAATTACATGAAAAACCCTGGCTATATTTATGTGTATGTGCGTACATTTCAATTGGACACAAATCACCGAGTTATTTCATGTAAGTATTTTAATGCCAAATGCAGTGAACATGTGTGTGTATATTAATCAACATTATTTTTCATTCCATCTTGTGGTATCTTGAAAAACTTAACAGATATTAACACCACCCGTCCAAACTAATTCAAATTTTCACTGTGTTATTGTTCTTATTAATAGTAATCTTATAGGTATCTCAAGAATGCTTTTAATATTTTTATTTAATGTGACTGCTTATTTTAAAATTTGAACATAAAATTGTAAGATAAGTTAATTTGGCTTCCTCAACTAGTTAAACTAGGCATCCTTCATATTAATCAATATTTTATACCGCATTATCCCACTATGCACAGTTCCTCTTCTCTTGATAATGAATCAAATTATAGTAAAGAACAAAAATTGAGATTTAATATTTTATTTTATTAATTAATTCAGGACACAAGTCATGTCGAGCCATTGATAAAATTCTCCCTACTATACATGATTATTCAATTCACAATAATCAAATTCAAGATATTACTTGAAATATCAGTAACTTTTTCACTTACTACTGACCAATATATTATTAGCCATGCTTAAATCAAGCCAAACGCTTGATTAAAAAAAAATTAAAAACTTTGAACCCTTGGTCAAAATGAAGTGCTCAATCTTTTGAAAAGATGAAACTCAATATACTATAAAATTGTCCAATAGTCTAAAAACTAAATTAACTTAAAGAGTAATGATTGAACAATGACTAAACACCAACGCCCACTTATCAAAGTCATGATGACTCAACGTGGCCTAATTTCATGAGAAAAAAATGTGCATGACCAATCAGATCAGTGGTTGCTCCTTTCTCAACCTCTCTTTATTTAAAATTAAAACGAATTAGTTTTTTTTTACCAGGAAAACGAATTAGTTTAGTTTACCAAAAAAAAATAACGAATTATTTTAGGCATCGATATCCATCACTACAAGACAGTGTCGACGGAACATGTAACTGTTTGAATTCGGAGTGTAGCGATTGAGACATTACATGTGCCATCTTCTTTTTCAAACTGATTTTTCAACGCACTTTCCTCTTCTCTATTTTCTCTTTGAATCCAACATTTCAATAATTTGCCTATACTTTGTTCTTTGTTTGAGTAATGAAGTATCTTTGATCAAAAAATAATTTGCCTGTATGATTTATTTAATTAAATGGTACGCTTTTAAATAATGGAGGGCCCGCTTATTTAAGATTAACAAATAAATTATTTTTAGATAACTTAGAGATTTTATAAAAATATATTTATTTTATAAATATTTTCTACAAAGAATATGTTGTTGTTATTATTATTTTGAATGGAATTGTGATACAATAAACCAAACCGGCTACAAAGAAATAAGTCACCTGCATAGTCTGGTTCTTCTCACCATCCATCACTTACTACAAAAAGGTGGTAAGTGATTAAAAGTATAAAAAGATTTTTAAGCTATTAGAAGAAAACAAAGATCAAATCCCTGTACAATAGTCGAGAGCTGAAAAAACGGACGTACTCAGTCTTTATTGGGCTAAGCCCTTAAACCTAATTTTTCATTTTTCACCCATATTTTGAAGTTCAGCCCTTATTTAAAGGGCTCAAGGCCAGGCTCGTAAGACCTGTTATGAAAAATTTAAAAAAATAAAATTAAATTAAACATTATAAATTAATTAAAATATTTTAAAATTAAAAAATAAAAATTTTCATAATCTTTTAGAAATTAAACAACACACATTTAGAAGTTTAATAAGAAAATTCAAATCTTGGTTAAAAAAATAGTTCATCTTTTTTAAATACACAAACATAATAATTATAGAAAAATAAAAAATATTAGAAATTTTATATTGTATACTAATATTTATTAAATTATACTAAATTAACTTAGAATAAATTAAAATTAATAATAATATAATATGTATAGGATCAGGGCTTCAAGTGAACAGGTTATTTTTGCCTTCAAACACATGTTTCATTAAAAAAAATTAATAATATTATAATAGGATTTGAAGTGCTACTCAAGCCCAAGTCCTTTTTCACAGGATTTATCAAAGTTAAGCTTTCAAACCCGATTAATTTAAAAAAATTTAATTTTTAAAGCCTGAACTCTTATTTAAATAGGGTTTTTAAGCTCGGCCCTTATTCTCGACTCTATACAATACCAACAATTTTCATTATAACAGGGGGAAAGTGGCCAACATTGGAATTAAATCATCTAATCCATTTAGCTTGACAATCTCTAATCACTCCATCACACTTGGAAGTTCCATCCTTATAAGAACCATCGATGTCCAAGTGATACTCATTAATTAGCCATAGGTCGAACCCAAAGAGATCAATGAGTTTGTCATGACTTATTAGACAAAGATAAGGTTGAATGAAGAATATTAAAATCAACCTTAACCCTTTGAAGAGTTGCCACACCCAATCTAATATTCTTCCTTGCATCATCAGAAAAGAGCTTCTTACATAGCACGAAATATCCCAACAAACATAGCCAAAAAGGGTTGCCTGAGGAACTTGTGTGGCGAACTCCTTGCCTGGTTTGTGCTTCAGGTTCCATACGATCCAATCCTCACCATTCATGCTTTTGAATCTATTCCAAGCTTCAGGTTTAACTAGGTTCTGCCATCTCTCTTTCGCCTATGGGCAATCTCTCAAGATGCATGACATCTTCTCTCTGATCACAACCCAATGGGAATAGATCCTCACTTTCCATACCCCTAGAGGCACGTAATTTCACTGTATGTAGTCTGTTCTTGGCTGCTAACCAAAGATGTACTTCAATTTTCTTTGGGCCCATCCACTTCCAAATTTTACTCCAGATTCCCCCCAATGGACTAAGGTGTACTTGCAACAGGGAAATTATATACAAGGTGAATAGAAAAATTACCAAAGATCGTTTCCACACAAATCTCTCATCGCGCCTCTCAACTCTCAAAATATGAGTGCAAGCAATACGATTCACAACGTCACTAGGCAAACAATTCCTGATCTTCAGTCACAAAATCAACCACCATACTCTCATCATTGAAAGAAGCATCAACGATAAAATGAGCCAGAGGTCTCGCAAGTAGACGAATTATCCATCAAGCATATGTTATTTTATAATTGGTTACACTAATAAAAAAAATTGATTATTATTTTGTTATTTGTAGATTTTATGATATCTTTGTGGATCTCTATTAATAAAAATAAT